AATTATGACCTCTTCTTACAATTGACTTTTTTCTCACACTTGGCTTTTCTTCGCAATTATTACTTTTTTCTCACAATTATGACTTTTTTTCGCAATTTACTTTTTTTTTTCGCAATTATGACCTCATATTTATGACTTTTCTTCTCATTGTTATGACTTTTTTTCTCGCAATTATAATTTTTTTCACACTTGGCTTTTTTTTTGCAATTATGGCTTTTTTCTCTCAATTGTGACTTTTTTCGCAATTGACTTTTTTTTGCAATTATGACCTCTTCTTACAATTGACTTTTTTCTCCCATTTGGCTTTTTTCGCAATTATGACTTTTTTCGCAATTATGACCTCACAATTATGACGACTTCTCGCAATTATGACTTTTTTCACAATTATGACCTCACAATTATGACCTCATAATTATGACTTTTTTCTCTCAATTATGACTTTTTTTCGCAATTATGACCTCACAATTATGACGACTTCTCGCAATTATGACTTTTTTCACAATTATGACCTCACAATTATGACCTCATAATTATGACTTTTTTCTCTCAATTATGACTTTTTTTCGCAATTATGACCTCACAATTATGACGACTTCTCGCAATTATGACTTTTTTCACAATTATGACCTCACAATTATGACCTCATAATTATGACTTTTTTCTCTCAATTATGACTTTTTTTCGCAATTATGACCTCTTCTTACAATTATGACTTTTTTCTCACACTTGGCTTTTTTTCGCAATTATAACTTTTTTCTCTTAATTATGACTTTTTTCGCAATTGGCTTTTTTCGCAATTATGACTTTTTTTTCGCAATTATGACTTTTTTTCTCACACTTGGCTTTTTTTGCAATTATGACTTTTCTTGCAATCATTTGGTTTTCTTACAATTCTGACTATTTCTCGCAATTCTGCTTTTCCCCCCTCACAGTTCTTTATCTTTAAGACGTTACCTTTCGTTCCCCATTTCAGAGCTCTTGGTCTGTGTGGGCATCACACTCCCCTCTATATAAAGCGGATCTGTAGGCGGACGCAGTAGGTGGCAGAGAGAACGAGAATGGACAACGATGGAGAGAATGAGACGGAGTGATTTTCTTTTCAGCGCAGTAGGTTTTTCTAAACTCTTTCAGAGTTTCTTTGCTCTCGCTGAATCTCCAGCACGAGATTCAGTCGCCGTTTGAAGCCAAACCCTTCGAATGTGATTTTCCCACGCAGTCTCTTATGCAAGGATGTGCACTTTTTATTGCTTTCTCTATCGGACATGACACTAACGTGCCTTTTTGAACGGTTTGTTTGCACTGAGGACGTTTAGATGAAATCACTCACAGTCACCTTTCAGCAGCACAACGTTTGAAGTGACAGTCAAATTCTGAGCAAACCAATGGTGAGGTTTTGGAGAATTTAAGCAAGCTTGCTTTGAAGTGACCACTCATTTTTGATGTTTTGGGAAATCAAAGGTCAGTCCTTCCCACTGTTTCCACTGATCCAGGAGAACGTGATGCTCTTTTTGATCGGTTTAGCAGGAAAACACACACATCCGACACATTCTGTCTCTTTCTTTCTCTCTGTTGTTGGATCTTTGGCAGGACCTTTGTGTTTTTAAAAATGTCTATGATGACCGATTATGAATTTCACAAAACTTGTCATATTCATTTTGAGCCATTTGAACATTTAAGATTTTTTTTTTTTTGCATTGTAAAATTTTTTTTTCTCAAATTTAATATTAATTACAATAATGTGTCTTACTGTTTTACCCATGTATATTCTATGTATATATTCTATGTATTTTTTTTTATATTTTCAGTATTTTTGTTATTCCTTTAAAAAAAAACAAGCAATTAAACACCATAATAGTATTTGTACTTTGATGTACTTTTTTTATTTATTAAGAATATACATGAAAATCATAATTGAGAATAATGAAAAATACAAAAACAACCTCCAGCTATTGTATATAACTAATTTTAATAATAAGTTTATCGATATAAATTTAAAACAAAAAATCCGGTCCTAAAAGTGGGATGCATTTTCTTCACCCTAAATATAATTTTTTTTAAACTTTTGATTTAAATAATTATTTTTTTTATTATGAATTTAATTTAAATTTGTATCAAAAAGAAAAAGAATATTTAAACACCATTGCATTATTTTTAATGAGAATTTAAAATTTAAAAAACCCTCTTAGAATAATGGAAAAAATATAAAAATAACAAATACAGCTACTACATAAGTTTAAATTATTTAAATATATATTTAGGCTAAATATACTGAATTTTCATTTCCAATTTTTGCCTCTTTGTTTTTTTTTATGAGAATTTAAATGAAATGAAAATTGTTGTTGTATTTTTCATTATTTTCAAAGTAGATAAAATAACAAAAACAACTATGCTGTATAAATACTTAAGTATATAAATATTATGTTTAATGTAAAAAAATCTCAACGGCTCTAAAAGTAAGATACATGTTCTTTAGTCAAAATGTAACTTCTTATCTCTCTATTATGATCATTATGATTTTTAATTTCAATTTTCATTGAAAAAAAATATTTAAACACCATAGTATTTGTACTATTTGTATATATTTTGAATATGTTTGTTTTGTAATTAGAATTGAAATGATATTCATCATTGAGAATAATGAAAATTGCAAAAAGAAAAATATTTCAAAATTAAACAAATGCATCTATAAATACTTAATTATAAAAACTCCTAATAGTCCTACATGTAGTATGCTTTTTCTTGAGGCTAAATATTATTATTGGTGTAATATGACATGTTTTGTGAGATTCATCTGCAAATGTATTCATGCATTTCTACGAACAACAGCCGAATAGAACAAAAAGTGAAATCTGAGAGTATTTTATTGACTTATGTTGTGATTTATAAATGTTTCGTTTCATCAGCTGATCGTTCTAATTGGAACTGAATTGAATTTATTTAATTCTGATTCTTAACTCACAGATTTGACCAATAAGCTTTAATCTGTTCGCCGGCAGAGAAGAGGCTTATTTTTGTTGATTCGTGTAGATTTACAGATTTTAATATATTTAAAATATCATATTAACTTAGACGTTTTCTTCTTTTTGCCAATTATTTGTTCTTGTATTTGTACTTCCGAGTCATTTTTGACTTCTTCAGACAATATCTCGGTTTAGGAGTATGTGAAATTTTTTCTTCTCTCGTCTTGAAACGTTGACCGAACGTTGTGGGAACGTTTGAATTGCATCTCAGAGAATGTTTTGTGTTTTGTGTCCAAAAATAGTGTCGGCATCATCTCTGAAATGACTTTGTTAATATTGTAAGATACACTCTGAACGGACCAAATGAGCAAAATCATGCTTGCTTTATTAAATATGTTGTGGCCCATTTCATTTCATGTGTTAGAATATGTTGTTCTGAGAATCATATTTATTAATAATCTTACATGTGATCAACAAAGATGATGTTATTTTGGATATTATTGTTATTTTGAGTCATTGGAGGATAATGTATTTGTGCAATAACTTTTTTTGTGTGTTTTTGTTTGTAACCAGAATTAAAACTATGACTTTATGTGGCGATGACCATATTTTTCTAAAAGTATTGATGATCTGCTGATGGTTTCGCTGTCAAAAATTATCATCTTTCTCAGTATTTTGTTTTTTCGTTTTCCGGTATAAATATCTAAACATTCCTAAATCAAGAAAAACATTTACTTAAGAACCAAAATGACGAAGAGATTAAGTCTTGATTTCTGAAAAAAATTAAAATAAAATCCAAATAGAATTTTTGCTTAAAACAAGAAGAAAAAAAATGCCAACGTGGTCAGAAAATAAATTTTTCAAATTTATTTCAAATTTCTCTTTTTTTTTTTTTTTTTTATTGACAACCACATAACTCTTGATTGATCAAATTTGTTTAGAACAAAGGAACATAAAGATCACTTAGAAGTTTTTTTAATAAATAGATTTTACTCGCATAAACTCACTTTCAGATGAACAATTTTATACGTTTTTCATGCTGCAATAGTTCATCAATAAGCATTCATGTTCAAAAAAATCATTTTTGTAGTGTGTATTTATCACAATGCAAATATCATATTCTCCTGCATCGAGAGTCAGACTCCGTCAACTTCACTGGCATGACAGTATTGTAATATACAATACAGAAAATAAAGTGAGATGAGATAAAGAATTATCAGAAATGGAAATCAACAAAAGATAAAAAAACATCAGTAACGACTGTAGTGTTGAGGTCAGAGGTCAGAGGTCACAGGGGATTTCCTGCGACCGACGCTGATGATCAGTCTCCTCTCAGCGGTCAGCGAGCTGCTCACAGATAACGGGTCCATGTCTGCCGGCAGCACAGACTTATGGGTAAAGCGTCCCGCAACACTCCCATCTGCTGCCATCTAAACCAGAGACCGAAACAACAGAAACAACTGAGAACGAGTGCGTTTGGACTGAACTCTCTTTACTAGCATTCAGAAGTTTGGGTTTTTTAAACGTTCTGAAAGAAGTCTCTTCTGCTCAGCGAGGCTGCATCAGTTGATCAAAAGTACTGTAAAAACTCTGAACTATTAGTACAGTTCAAAATCGCTGTAAAACAATTTTTACTATTAAAAATAGGCTGATATTTTTGAGGAAACCGTGATGCATTTTATTTTTCAGGATTCAGAGATTAATAGGAAAGTTCAAAAGAACAGCGTTTAGAATATTGAAAAGATTTTGGAAATAGAAATCGCATTTTGAAAATAGAATCGTTTGTAACGTTATAAATATCTTTACTGTCACTTTTGATCAATTTAATGCAGCCTTGATGAATAAAGTATTAATTTCTTTAAAAAATAAAAAATGAATAAAAATAAATAAATAAATGCATATAAATAAAATACACAATTCTACTGGACATAACACCAGGGTAAAACGAAAATCATAATATATGCAAAATTAAATTAAAATATATTTTAGCTTGTTGCATTTCTCATTTAGTTTAACTTGATGTACTAAAATAACTAAAACTGACATAAAAATGAATAAAAACTATATAGACTTATTTTTAAAAAAACTTGTTAAATGACAGAATCACAACAAAATTACTATAACTAAAAGTATAATAAAAACATAAAAATTAAAATTAATAACTACATAAGACGTCATAAATACAAAAGACTAAAATTACTTTAAAATGACAATGAAAACAAAATATTAATAAAAGCTACAATAGTATCTCAATGACACACACACACATATTTATGATATATCACATATGCATATATATTCTGCACATACTCCACACTATGTTCCAAAAATAGCAGTCAGTGTGCTGAACTAAATATATCTCATGAGATCACACACACACCTTCTCTGCGTGAATAGCCACACACTGATTATACACCAGCAGCACCACTTCATGAGGCTCGAACCCGCTCACATCTGCAGACAGGAAGTAGCTGTCACCCGTCGCCCTGACCACGCCCACACCGGAGCCGCCGGGAGCTGAGAGAAACACAAGCTGAGGCTCCTTCAACAGATTCACTCTATAAGCCAGTTAGCTGATGGGTCAGTCCAGTGTTAAAACACACAAAATAGTTAGCGTTAACTCTTTCCCCGCCACTGACGGAATTTTCTGTGTTTCCGCTGTTACGCGGCAGGAGGCGCTGTTACGCATCCCCTGAAAGAGCGCTGGATGTCTTGCATCAAAACACGGCGAAGCAGAAACAAGCGACTGCGTATATGGAAAATAACACCCTCATCAGTGTTGGGGAAAGTAATGCATTACAATATTGCGTTACGCCATAAAAAAAAGTTACTAATTACGTTACTTAGTTACTTTTTATGGAAAGTAATGCGTTACGTTACTTTTGCGCTACTTTTTAAATCTGGACAGGGCTCGCTTGTTTGTTTTTAAAATAAAAAAAGTTATATTTTTGGCAAATATAAAAGCCTTTTCACGCCAAACGTGAAATGAATAAGCCTCAGGCTGAAGGGAAAGTACAGTAGAATGCAGAAGACGACATTTAACACACTTCAGCAAAGACACACAAATGTTCGTCTAGAGTAATTTGTGCTCATTAGTACGCTTGAACTGCATCATCGAAGCAAATAGAATGGGATTAAATACATAAAGCATATTTGTGTTGTTTAACATTTAATTATTGCAGGCTTGCGTCATATTCTGAGTTGCATTATTTTTATTCATTTTGAGGAATACTGAATCTGCGTGTTTTGTTTTTTTGTGAGTGAGATGAATTAATGCATATTCATATTTATTTTATAGCTACAGTAACATCTTCTGATTTCTCTCAGCATGGCGACACCGGAGCTGTCAGTCAATACATTGGAAAAAAAGGTACTTATTTGAAAAAGTAACTCAGATATTCTCTTGTAAATTAAAAAGTAATGCGTTACTTTACTAGTTACTTGAAAAAAGTAATCTGATTACGTAACTCGCGTTACTTGTTATGCGTTCCCCCAACACTGCCATCATCGGACATTAAACAGCATATAAATATAAACTTTTGTTAAAAATGATGCTTTTTCATGAAAAAAGTGTTGATAAACAAAAAGAATGCAAGAACAAAATGTTCAAAATGTTGATAAATGCTGGCGGTGACTGGCAACTTTATAAAAATAAAAAAAAGTTAAAAACCCTGGCGGGGAAAGAGTTGTTATAAAGGAATTTTCCGTATTGTTTTACCCGTATTTTAAATGACATTCACTGCATTGCATTGTGTTTTACGCTTAAAGGAAATGTCAGTAAACTTCACTTTTCTGTTTTCTATTAACTTTTTTTTCTTATAGTGCACTATATCACTTTTATTTGACATTTATTTCAGCTGTTGCTCAGGTAGAGCACCAGTTCTGTGGTTAGTTTGAGTCCGAGTGCTGATTAATGCTGTCTAGAGTGAAACAGTCTCAGTATTTCATCACTCGCTTCACTCCAAACTCATTGGAAAGAAAAGTCAAACGAGTTTCTAGAGTTTCACATCTCAAACTTGGCAAGAAACATTGCAAATCAAATGCAATGATCTGAGCTGCTATTCACGTTCATTAAAGCTCTAACTGGAGAAAAGTCTAAGACAAACTTAATGCTTAACTGAGTCTCCAGAAATATGACAGAAAAAGCATTACGC